GATGCTTGTTTGCTAGATAAAATAAACCCTGTGATGAAGATCCTTTGAGGTATCTCACAACTCTAAGAGCTGCTTTCCAGTGGACCATTTTTGGTTGGCTTAGAAATTGACTCAAGACTTGCACAGAGTAAGAGATATCTGGGCGTGTGATCGTTAAGTATAACAATCGACCAATTAATCTTCTATACTCTTTTGGATTAGTGAGTTCTGGCCCTTCCTCTTCGTTAAGCTTCAAATTTTGTTCCATTGGAAATTGAACGGATTTGGCTCCAATTAACCCACAATCTTGTAAGATTTCTAATGCATATTTTCTTTGGCATATAGAAATCCCTTTTGAACAACGTGCTATCTCTATCCCCAAAAATATTTCAGCCGTCCAAGGTCTTTTAATTTGAAATGTTTTCCTAGATACTCTTTCAAGTTTTGAATTTCGGTATCATTGTCTCCCCCTATCACCATATCATCAACATAAACAAGCATGACAGTGAAATAGGTGTTCGTTCTTTTGAAGAAAAGTGAGTAGTCGGCTTTGGATTGTGTGAACCCAATTTTGGTGATGACAGAAGTTAGCTTATGATTCCATTGCCTTGAAACTTGTTTCAAACCATAGAGGGACTTTTTCAGCTTGCATACACGATTCTCCCCCTCGCTACCATATCCCGGTGGTAGTGACATATAAACTTCCTCTTCCAAATCACCATAAAGAAAGGCATTATTGACATCAAGATGGTAGAGAGACCAACCTTTAGAGGCTGCAATGGCCAATAGACAGCGGATTGTGGGCATTTTGGCAACCGGGGAAAAAGTCTCGAAATAATCCTCTCCCTCCTTCTGTGTATATCCCTTGGCTACAAGGCGTGCTTTGTACCTCTCAATGGTACCATCCGCCCTATACTTTGTTTTAAACACCCATTTACATCCCACGAGCCTTTTGCCTTTTGGTGGTACAGCCAATTCCCAAGTGTTGTTTGCTTCAAGAGCGGTTAGTTCATTTTGCATAGCTGTTCTCCAATGAGGGTACTGGTTGGCAGTGACAAAAGAAGTGGGTTCGGGCTCCATGGTGATGGCTAAGCTGAAACTACGGTGAGCAGGGGACATGTTATCATAATTTAGAACAGAAGAAAGAGAATGAGGTTTACCTTCATCCATTTGCTGTGCAGTAGGAGAATCATGTGGATTTTCTAGAGAAGTTACAAGTCGACAATGGAAATCTTGGAGATAGCCAGGTTGCTGTCGTTGTCTAGTGGATCTTCTCAACTCAGGGACATTGTGTTCTGGTGCTGGAAAACTTATCCCGGGTTGGGGCGTGTCATTTTGGTTGTAGTGCTCTGCGGGTGGGTTGTTTTCAGGGATGGTGTCACTGTTGGTATGAGCAAGTGCTATCGGTATATGATCAGAATAATCTGATATAGGATTAGGGATCACAGGCAGGTCATCTCTCAAGATTTGATGACTCTTTCTTTGCTTATAGAACCACATTTATTCTAAATTTTGCTTATCTGGATTCTTTTTTGACAATGGCCCATGAATGAGTATTGCAGCAAGAAAAAAAACCATAACAGAAAGTCAAATCTGCAGTAAATTATTTCAATTAGTGTTAAAAAAATTGACAGCTAAAGGCCCTGTTATGGTTTCTCGGTCATGTTTAAATGTAGAAGATGAGTGAATCGTGACTTCTTGGGTTTATAATTTCTATAAAAATATTACATATTAGTATAATTGAATGGGCTTGCTCTGCCATCCTTTATCCTCTGCTCCCAAGTTATCATTTTTACCAATATTTATCCCATTATTTAAATGGTACATGTAGCACAGGATTCCAAGAATTACTGTTGACCAAATAAGGTCGAAGCACACCCTGTAGCAGAAACCACACAAAATGCATGATCAGAAGGCTCCCTTCTAGAGCCATACCCATTGCCCACTCTCTGCCCGATTCTCGGCTCACTCTTTGAGCTGTTGTCGGATTATAGCTTTCCTCACGCTTCTATCATCTTTAATGACCTCAAAAGCATTACAGACATTTCCAACACCGTACCTACGCTCCACGATTCCAACTCTAGCATATGAACACGGTGAATCCGTTGAAATTGGTGGCAAAGCGGAATCACCAACACTCCTGAGCAATGTTCTAAACCGATCCAAAACCCGTCACAAGAGGTATTGTACCAAACTGAATGTCCACCACGTTACCAAATCTGTCTAGATGTCTCTTAACTGGTTTTGTTGTCCCCTTCAAGATCCAGTATAACTTAAACACATTTTGGACCTTCAAGACTCCACCTTCACTAGAGAATTTATACCTTTTTGAATATAGAGTACTCAGCGGGATGAGATTCTTCTTCAAATCTGGAACAAGTCGAACCTGATCAAGTATTCTGACTATCCCATCCTGCAATCTCAATCTAATCCGATTGATTTCAGTAACTCGAGAAGATTGGTTGTTGCCCATGATAACTTCACCTTGCTTAATCGCCTCATATGTCTGAAACAAGTCCCGATTGGGACAGATGTGGTACGAACATGCTGAATCTAGAATTCACTCTCGTCAGGCTCAGACTTCATGTTGATACAGTCAATACCACATCTCCGCCATTCCCAAAATCCTTAACGACATTGGTCTCGTCCGAAGTACATGATTGCCTCTCATGATTTGCAGCTAAGTTACCTTTAGTCTGCAACTTATCGCAATCCTTCTTAACGTGTCATTTTTTCCTACAGTAGAAACAATACAAATTGTCAAAGTTTACTCTCGATCTACCCCACTATCGATCACAATGAGATACTAGAGCTTTCTCATTCCTAGATATAGTTCCAACCAGATGCTTCATCTGCTCATTTGAGAATAAAGTTTCGTAAATATCGTCGATGGTAAGTATGTCACGACTATACAGAATTGTGTCCTGAAACAATGAATAAGAAGCGGACAGTGAGCATAAAAGAATCAAGGCCAAATCCTCCTCACATACTTAAACTCCAATTTCTCTAAATTTGCAATGATTTCCTTGAAAATGGCAAGGTGGTCCTCGAAAGATCCTCCTTCCGCCATACGATGGGAATACAACATTTTCTTTAGAGGCAGTTTGCTCGTAAGACTTTTAGTCTTCCACAATTGCTCCAATTTTAACCACAAAACAGCCACTGTTTTCTCTTTCAATACGTCCTACAGAATATAATTGGATAGATGAAGATGAATATGTGATAGAGCCTTACCGTCCTTCCGTTATTTCTCTTTCATTGTCCAATTTGCTGGCATCTTATCAAAATCTAACAAAGATTCATCTAAATTCATTTGTGTCAAACATCCCTCATCTTTACTTGCTACAGCGAAAATTTCGTATTGCGATTCAACAGCGAAATATCATATTTCAATGTAGCCATCTCCAAAAAAAAAAAAATCCAATCAAATCACAATGAACCGCAACCTAGCTCTGATATCACTTGTTGATTCTAAAGGTGTTGCAAGAATTGAGATTAACAACCCAATATGAAATATATATGATCACAATCAATAGAAAAGATTAAAGTGAAAAAACAAAAAGAGAGATAAGCAGAGAAACCGATGTTTTTATTCAATAACGATATGAAGAGAAATTACAACTTAGCAATATTTGCTTCACAAATCTAGAAAAAAATTGTAGTATTTATAGGGAACAATCCAATTCCTAGAAGAAGAGTTGTAGATGAAATAAAAAGTCAAAAGTTTTTTTTATTTTGAACTCTTCAAGTCCAATACAAATCCCAACACCCAATAGGGTTTCGAAATAAAATTTTAACTGGAATTTGACTATTAAACTTGAATATGATTTCTCAATAGCATTCCAATTAGAATTTCTCCTGATGTACATTTCAATTAGAACTCTTCAATTATTTCAACAAAAAATTCGAGTCACACCTAGATTCTAATACCACTCTCTTTGGGCGTGGTCATCGCTGAATACAATGCATTTTGCCTGTAATTAATTATGTGCAGTGTCCAGTATACAAAAGCTTGTAATCGTGGACATGATCACAATGTACAATCATGTTTAATGCAATGGATTTATGTTATCTTGACAACTGAAGGCCTTTTGTTGTCTTGACAATTTTATATTATCTCTTGAAACTAGTGCAGAATAGTAAGATAAAATTTTCAATTTGCCACTCAAATATTAGCATAGTTTTAAACCGTAACTCAACTTTGAAATGTTTTGAATAGTCACTATATTTTCAATGTTGTTGCTTATTTGACGTTCCATCTCCTTCCAAGATTTTGGTGTGAAACGTTATGTAGTTTTGCCAGTGATTTATCCTAATTCTCCTTTCGGTGTTTCGGCTCTTACATAGAGTTATTATTTTTGGATAATTTAAAAGTTGGAGAAGGAATTTTACTAATAAATTGATATTCAACCACCCCTTCACCCCGGTATTTCTTTTGTAGAAATTTGTTTGATTGGGTCGAAATTTCTTAAAAACTACTATTCAAGATATGGAAGAAAGAAGTGTTTTAACGATTCTATCACTCAGTCAATTCTATTATTTTTAATCTCTATTTTTCTAGAATGATGGATGGGTGACAATGTTAAAAGTTTACTATTCAGAATTTTTTTAAAGTTTAGTGTCGGTTGTGATACAATGTATTGAAACTAACTTTTTGGAAAAAATAAAAAAATAAAGCCCCTGTTTGGTGGCCATTGTTTTGAATAATAAATTTTTAAATAATGTGTGATTAAAAAGTAGAGAAAAGTATTGAATTTCTACGTAAAATATTTCATTATCTGAATATGTGATTAAAGATGAGTATACAGAAAAAAGAGTTTTGTAAAAATAGGAAACAAAAAGGACTAAAATGTGACTTTTAGGAAAATAAGACGCGGACATGCATGTCAATTCCTAAAAGCACAAGGAGAAATTAAAGATTTAATATATAAATAATACCCTTAAGCGGACCAATACCGCTGGTCTTCTCGAAGTGGGAGAGAGATTTTGCAGGTATGCCATAGATATTTTAATCGGATATAATTCTTTTTGCATTCTTCCGTGTTTTTCCCCATGGCTTCTGTGGTCAATGATTCTCCTTCTTATCTCTAATTTATTTCCTCCTGAATTTAAATTCTCTTCTCTATCTCCCCAAAATTTAGAAAAAAAAAAAAAATCCAAACCCAAACCGTCTTTTTGTTTAAGAAAATTACCTTTTTTTTTTTTTCTCTCGCAATTACCAACTTAATACTTTTGGTCTGTTCCGTTTTCATGATTCTCTTCGCCTGGAAGGATTAATGCTAACGTGCGCGAATTTGGTCGATTGAAATTCAAATTTTTTTAGGTGCCTAGAATTTGTTTTTGGGGGAAATTCACTTTTAACAGAGTCCGTACATGTGGAAGGTGTAGATGACGATGGTGGTGGGACCTATGAGAAGGTGGGGAACGTGGGAGGAGCTTATACTGGGAGGTGCCGTCCTCCGCCACGGCACACAAGACTGGAACGTCGTCGCTTTGGAGCTTCGTGCCCGTACCCTTTATCCCTACAGCTTCACCCCCGAGGTCCCTTTTTTAAATTTACATATTTCCTTCTTTAACCTTTTCGTGCCCTATAATTTAATATTTTATTAATATTATGCATGCATGTAAAACATTTTACTGTACATGCCGTTTTTGCCCCCGCCCCGTACGAGCAAAATTCCAAATTGACATTTACCTTAGTCCTATATTACGTTAAAAATGATGAATTTTGTGGTGTGTCAAGGAAAATTTTGATTCTCCACTTGTAGTGGACCCTGGTACACTTTTTTGTACGTCGATCGACACCATAATGAAATTGACGTCCCATTTTATTATTAAGGGTCTGTTCGATAGTTATTATAATAATTGATTTTTTTATCATTATAGAGAAAAGTGAGTCCATCAATGAGTGAAGAAATTAAAAATAATTGTTGAAATAATGACATAACGGTCAAAAAATTAATTTTTTTTGAGTGAAAACTTGCTACCAAACGACGGCTAAGTAATGTTTGGTTTAATTTAAAAAGTTGATAAAATTTTAAATTAAAATTAACAATTGATTTTTTTTCATGAAATTCATAATTTTTATTAATTTTTCAGTCATATATTTCATTTTTTTATCAAATTATATTAGTCCCTGTTTGGTTTCCTTTTTTCTTCATTAAAATGAAAAATATGACCGTTATTCATTACATCAAACCACCGAATTTGAATTTCTATATTTTGTGTGGGACCCGTAATGACTATATTTTTCATTCTCATTTTTCCAAAAATGAGAAATAAACGGGGCTAAAAATTTGATTTTTAGCAAAAGTAAGTGGTGACCAATTGTATTACACTATCACTTTGGGGTTCACAACAAAAAGTTGGAACTGAACGATAGAGATATCAAGTAGGCTCACCGACCAAATAAGGGTACTGAACCCAGCAGGCCATCGGGTTTTACTGTTTATTTTCTTTTCTTTTATTATTAGGAAAAAAAGGGGAAAGAAAGAAACTGGGTTTTCACCTCTGGACCAGATGCTGCAAAATGAAAACAAGTAGAAGTCATAAAATTGTTTTAGGTGACGGAAAGGATTTTTTCGAGTTTTTTATTTTCCAATTACTTATAGACTTCTATACTTGGTGTTAGGCTTAAGTGTGAGTGGGTCAAATCGGATTGGACCTAGACAATTCGAGTTCCGTTCTATTCATTGCATTTTTTTAAAAGAAAAAATAAATCATGTGCTGGCGTTACAAATTATCTTCACGATATCAAGCAAGAATAGAATAAATAAAATATGCCACCAAATATTGTCCAATATATAGCAAAATATGCCATCAAATAACATCCTATATCTAGCATGGCATAAGCATAAACATCAAATTAAGCACTCAAAGAACAAATCAAAAACTAGAAATCAATAATTAAAAAGTACTTGATTCTACAAATGCTAAAAACAACATTTTCATTCACCTGAAAACAGCATAAAATTGAACATTGCCTCAGTTTTCAACTAAAAAATTGAACTAAAAGTTAATTCAAAATTAACAATTAATTTTAATCACACATTTTATAGGATCCACAACTTGTCAACAATACATTTCATTAACTTGTATCAAAATCTACTAAAAATATGACTTTTATATAAACTAAATGGGGGCATTTTCTACTTTCCTTTCCATCCTATTCGGTAATTGGGTCTAGGTGAATAAATTGTAAAAAAATTTTAAAAAAAATTATAAAAAGGAAAAATTCAATTTCAGAGTCGAGTATCTACAATTTCGGTTCAAGAACCATCCGAGATCCGGTCGTTTCTATTTCTCAATTTTGGTTTCTATTTTTTTTCTTTCTGGAAGTGGACAGAAACCTTCATCTCCCGTTCGGAGGTTTGGGTTAAAATACCCACCTCTACTTGATGTAGAATTCTAAATGCTACGCATTCTAAGAACTTCTTATATTTATTGCGATAGGAGATATATTATTAGAAAATTGAGGTAAGGTTGATATATTGTAGAAATTCAGCATGAAGATTAGCATTAGTCACAATCTCCAAAAGGATACAGTGATAAAATAGAAGGAAAATGGAAAATAGTTCTTCAATGGATAGATGGACGAAATATGTTGCAACTCATCTCAGTTGTTCGTTGTCTACATTGGAACTATTCTCTAGTTAGTTGAGTCAATTTTATACAGGAATATAAATGTAAATTATGAAATAAATTTACAGATGGAGGCTTGCATAAATTTCAGAAATCAAATTTTATAAGGTTTTAGCAGCCTATGTTATAATGACCTTAAGACGGTAATCGAGTTTCAGAAACTTAGAACGATCATAATGCAATTTGGCCTCAATTTAACAGCCTTCTAGTTTTTGTTGACACTGTGGAAGATATTTAGATTCAAACTTCCACTATCATCTCAATGTAAACTGAAATTTAGCTTGCTGAAATACTTCCATGTGGTAATTAAAAATGATGCAGCTTCTGCTATATAACTTATACATACAAATGAAAGGTGTAAGGAAAAAAGTTGTCATGAGATATTATCTAATATTTCATGTATATTATGATTAGGTGAATAATAAAAACCTGACATTGAATTGCAGGTCTGTAAAGCCAAGTATGAGGACTTGCAAAAGCGTTATTCTGGCTGCAAGTAAGTAGAATATTCTCGCTCATGAACTAATATGGCCTCCTCTGCTATTTGGACTCAATTGACATTAAATGTGACATGTTGAAATTGATAATCTTATCTGGCTTATTAATGTTACTGTTACCGGCCATCGATGGAAGCATCTTCTAATTGAGTCTTGTGGTATCAAGTCATTTGTGTTTTTCTCAATTACATGTTTATCTCCTCGTTGTCGTGCTTTCACTCAATCTCCCCCCTTCTCTCTGACCTCCTGTTGTTAGGAAAATGTCCATTTCTATCCAAAGATGTAGGCAAGTTGGTTAATTATGTCGAGTGTGAAAACTAATTTGTTAAATCATCTGGGTTCTTACTAGGAATACGCTGAGTGATTAATGTTTTTTTCATTTCTTCGTCTTTAACTCCCAGGGCTTGGTTTGAAGAGCTAAGAAATCGCCGAGTGGAGGAGCTGAAGAGAGAATTAACTAGAGCTGAAGACTCAATAGGGTTAGTGACATTACTATCTTCCACTGGTATGGTGCTTGTTAAAACTTCTTTGGTTATTATCAAAAATACGCGGCCAATGCGTGTACACATGCACGACCATCTCGCTGTGGGCAGACATTTCCCCATGTTATATTTTTATCTTTTCCCTAATTGCTATCTGCGGCATACAATTATTCTTTTTTAGTAATGTTGTTACTTTGCTTTGTTATCAGGTCTCTTGAGTCCAAAATCAAAACTCTGGAGGCAGAGAAACAACATTCAAATCAGGCTGATTATGGTTCCGGCCAGTCTGAATCTCCTCTACTAAATTCAGACAGCATCGAATCTTTTGGCAAAGAGACTTCGAAGGATGAACACTCTGCTGGCAGCTTTACGAAAGATACCTGGACAAGGGCGAGTTGGTTATATGAACGTCCACACCCAGGGACAGTTTTAGCTGTGGAAACGGACATGAAGCCCAATGTTTCATTTTCCTCTGAGCAGGATAAAGATCTAAGCATTCAAACAGGGCAAGGAGTAACTATCAGGAAGAGAAGAGGCCAGAGAAAGAGGAAGGACTGTAATAGGGATGCCAAAGAAGGGAGTGTCGCCGAGAGTGACAACTTGGGTTCGTCCAATTTAGTCGTCACTACATGGAAGGATGCGTCTACCAGTGATTGTCATTGGATTACAACAGAATCCAGTAAAGTTAATCATAATGGAGATTCCTATACTTCAAGGAGAAATGATTTGATGGAAATTTTCGATTCAGTTGCCTTGAGCGAACTGGCCATGGTCTTTAGACATCGGATGGACAGTCAGGTACAAGTGCAATAATTTCTCTTGGACTTTAGTGAATCAATACATTCTAGTGGATTGAAATTATCTCTATTGTGAAAAACAGAAACGAGCAAGATATAGGAAATTAATCAGACGCCATGTAGATATCAGTACGATAAGATCAAGCATCATTGGACATTCCATAAGATCTGCAAAAGAACTCTTCAGGGAATTGCTTTTGCTTGTAAACAATGCCCTGGTGTTCTACTCGAAAAGAACACGAGAGTACAAATCAGCAGCATGTCTCAGAGATCTGGTCATGAAAAAATACCGGCAGCATTTCAGAAGCTCCCCCAACAAAGCTACATCTGCCCTGCTTCCTATGCAACCAATGTGTAATCCTCCTGTAAAGCCTCGAAGTGCACGTCCACGCCCTTGTCCTCGTCCATGCACAGATAAAATCACCGGGAAGTTGCTTGGTGCTGATAATCTTGTTCCTGTAACTCCCGAGGAACAAAAAACACCATGTAATTCGGAGTTGAATATGTCGTTGCAGTCCTTGTTAAAGGCTAGGAAAGACATCAAATTGCCTGGTAAGCTTGAAGTTGGGTGGTTGTATAATTCATGGCCTAAGTCTCATGTAAAAGAAAGAAAACGAATCCGACAAAAGTGATAACCACAATTTGTATGAAATTTGTACATGCAAAATCACTCTCTTATTTGTGCAAAATGTCTCCTCCTAATCACCATTGTGAACAATCTAAGGGCCTGTTTCGCATAGCTTTAGCTTTTACTTTTGCTTCTTGTAGAAAAGTTTTTGGAGGGAGCTACCTTAATTTTCATTTGAAAACTAAATTTCCAAACATCTTAGAAGCATCTTCATAAACATGAAAATTACACCTAGTAATACAAATTCACAGTCCAAATTTCAGGTGAGAAGGTTTTTTTTTAATTTTTTTTTAATGCAAAAATCAAGTATACATCTAATGCTTGAAAGGTTTAAAAGCAATATGTCACAGACCTAGTTTCGTTACATCCGAACAATTAGAACCGTGCGGCCTTAACGTCTGACAATTTTCGTCCCTCACGAGAAAACGTTAAGTTAACATTTTCACGCTCACAAGTCATTTAACCAATGATGTTAAATTATAACCACTTTGAGAAAAGAATTTTGGAGTGAGGAATATATGGAAAATAAGTAAGGATGAGGAAACTTTTTTTGTCTAAATGAAAGGGAAAACTTTATAATCTTTCTAATGAATAAGCTCACTTCACTCTACATGATTTACAAATGAGACTTCCATCTCTATTTATAGGCAAAAATCTTGCAAGTCGTTTTCAAATCAATGGTCATGATTTATTTGATCCAATGGCCCTCATTGGATGCAAGTTGATTTAAACGTCCTTTGACAAGTTGCATTCCACTTTATAACTCATGTTTAGTTGTCATCAAGTGGACATTCTCTACCATTTTCCTTGCAAGTGGGTACAACTTGTGTTTAGCTTGCATCTTGATATTATCCTTGCCAACTCGATCTTAACTTGCATATTGACAATATCTTGCAAGTGGCCAAGTGGGCCAAGTGGCACAAGTTGTGCAAGTTGCCCACTTGCATCTCCAAAATATCCAGATACAGGTTCATTTATTTTTCCTTCCAAAATGGCTGGTTCGAAACTTAGAAAAACCTCATTAATGTGCTAGAAAACTGCCTGCTTCAGGCAGCCTGCGTTCTGCCCAACAAGCTACCTGTGTCCTCAGCCTGAGTCTGCCTGTGTTCCCTGCCGCAAACTGTCTGCGTCCCTTGTCGAATCTGCCAGCATCCCCCACCGCAAGCTGTTCTGTCCTGCTGAAACGCGTTACCTGCGCTGTTTTGTGGCTGCTATCGGGATGGATCGGTTGCTACTGTGTGGGGGTGTAAGTCACTCCCCCACCGAATTTGGCGACGCCTTCGTCGCCGTGTAGTTTTGTAGCTCTGACTCAAATTGCCATAGCTCTCCTTCATTTTCCCAAGTAGCTTCGGACTCGGGTAATCCCTTCCATTTGATTAAGTATTGAGTGCAAGGGGGAACACCTGTCCGTCTCACCACTCAATTCGCCAAAATGGATTCAATATCTTTCTCAAAAGATTTTGTGACAATGGGAGGCACCCTTCTTGATTTGTTTCTCCCCGGATCCTCAAAGTCCGGTCTATATGGCTTCAACATGCTCACATGAAAAACTGGGTAGATCTTTAAAGTGCTTGAAAGATCTAGCTGGTAGGAAACTCTTCCAACCTTAGCTATGATAGGAAGCGGACCTTCATACTTTCTAACCAAGCCTTTATGACCTTTGCGGTAGGCTTTGAATTGTTGGGGTTACACTATCATAAGTACTTGATCTCCAATGTGGAACTCCAATGGTCTCGGTCTCTCATCGGCCCATTTCTTCATTCTCTTTCGGGCTTTCTCCAAGCAAGATCTCGCTAAGTCCGCATTATCTCCCCATAACTTAGCCATTTTTATTGCTCCAGGACTTTGATTGGAATTACCAGCCATAGGTAATGTGTGGAGCGTTGTAGGTTGTCGTCTCGTTGCAAGTTCAAATGGACTATGTCCCGTGGATTCACTTTTCTTCAAATTGTAGGAAAACTGAGCTGTCTATCAATTTCACCCAATCCCGCTAATTAGCAGTAACAAAGTGCCTAAGATAACATTCCAACAATGCGTTCACCTATTCTGTCTGTCCATCCGTATGTGGGGTAAAAACTACTAGAAAAGTGCAAATCCTATCCAATGAGTTTAAACAACTCCGTCCACATTTTTCCCGTAAAGCGGGGATCCCGATCACTAACAATATGTTTAGGCAATCCCCAATACTTCACAACATGCTTGAAAAATAACCTGACCGTCTCCTCCACGGTGCAATCCTTAGGGGTCGTAATGAAATTAGCATACTTGGAAAACCGATCGACAACAACAATTATTGATTCGAACCCTTCAGATTTTGGCAAGGCACTAATAAAATCCATGGTGACTACGTCCCATGGTTGATCCGGCACAGGAAGAGGATCAAGAAGTCCCATCGGTAATTTATTCTACACTTTGTCTTGTTGGCACACAAGACATGTTCGGATATATGTCTCCACTTGATCACGCATTTGCGGCTAATAATATGCTCTTTCAATCAAAGCCAATATCCGATCTATCCCGAGATGTCCAGCCCATTTGGTGTCATGACATTCCCGGATCACTTCATACGCAAATTTTTCCACTTAGGCACAAATACCCGTTGTCAATCCAAAATCGCCTTGTCTTGCCTTCCTGGGTGGCTTGCATCAATGTTTTCGCCATGAGATCATGCTCCAATCCTTGTTTAATTTCGTCCATCAAGGTGCCCGTGGCTTGGCTAATTACCGCAAGTTCCACCTTCCGTCTAAGTGCATTCGCCACTACATTCGCCTTTCCAGGTTTATATTCCATCACATAATCAAACTCCGCCAAGAAATCTTGCCATCTAGCTTGTTTCGGGCTTAACTTCTTTTGTGATTGGAAATAACTTATAGCCACGTTGTTCGTCTTATTCACAAAACGGGAACCCAAAAGATAATGACGCCATACCCGAAGACAATGCAAAATGGTCGTCATTTTTTTTCTTGCACCGTGTAACGCCGCTCCATGTCATTCAACTTGCGACTTTCAAAGGAAATAGGATGACCTTCTTGCATAAGCACACCTCCAATAGCAAAATTCGATGCATCAGTTTGAACTTCAAAATTTTTGTTGAAATCTGACAAGGTCAACACCGGCTCCAACATAACCGCCGCCTTTAAGTCATCAAAGTCTCTTTGACATTTCATGGTCTAATCCCATCCTTGAGACTTTTTGAGCAAGTCCGTCAATGGGACCGCTCTAGATGAGTAGCCTTTAATGAAACAGAGATAGTAATTCACTAGTCCAAGGAAAGATCGCAACTCCGTCACCTTAGTAGGTGGCTCCCATTCATTGATTGCTTTTACTTTGGCTCCATCCATTTTCAAGTGACCATGCTCGATGATATGTTCCAAGAAATTCACCTCTTCTTTGGCAAATGAACATTTCTCCTTCTTGATGTACAACTTATTCTCCCGCAACACTTCAAAGATAATCTTCAAGTGTTCAACATGTTCCTCCAATGTATTGCTGTAGATGACAATATCATCAAGATAGACCACCACAAATTTATCCAAGTATGGATAAAATATCTTGTTCATCTAGGTGTAAAATGTGGCCGGGGCATTGGTTAAATCGAATGGCATGACAAGCCATTCATAGGAACTATATCGAGTAATGCAAGTAGCTTTAGGCTCGTCTCCCTCCGCAATTCGAACTTGATAGTAGCATTTTTGCAAATCAACCTTGGTGTAAAATTTAGCACTATCAAGCCGATCAAATAAATTCGTAATCAATGGAATATGATACTTGTTTTTCACCGTCACCTTGTTTAGTGCCCAGTAATCAACGCACATCCTTAACGTCCCATCCAGCTTCTTTTGGAATAATAAGGGGGCGCCATAGAGAGCTTTGGATAGTCTAATCCTTCCTAGCTCAACAAGCTTCGTAAGTTGTTTTCGAAGCTCCTCCAACTCTGGTGGTGCCATGGCCGGGGGTTTGGCTTCGGGCACCAACTCGATGCGATGATCAACTTCCCTCCTATACGGAAGTTTCCTTAGCAACTCCTTGGGCATCACGTCCTTATTTTCCTCAAGGACTTTTGTAATAACATCCGACAAATCATCATTATTAGTGGTGACTTCGTTGCAACCGACAATTGAGGAATGAATGTCGGCTCACCCTTCTTCCATCGTTTCACTAATTGTATAGCCGAAAGTTGTCTCGTTTTCGTCCCCATGGAAACGACAGGAATCATGCAGAATGATCCTTTCTCCGAAATGCACATCGAACCAAAGGAAGGCATAGGAATTGCATTAACCTTTCTCAAGAAATCCAAGCCTAATACTAACTTGAAATCATCCATCGGTGCCACAGAAATATCAATGGGTCCATGCCACGAACCCAATCGTAGTTTCACTCCTCGAACTACGCTTGCTAATGGCCTCATGGTTGCATTCACTGTCTTCAACAATCTACCTCCATGGTGAATATTCAAGCCTAGCCTCCATGATTAAATTTTGCATGGCTCCGGTATCAACTAATGCCCATGTTTGCCGTCCATTGATTTCGACAAGTACGAACATCAATCCTTTTTCTCTGTTCGCCCCCGAAACGATTTTGACATTCAAAGCATTGAAAAGTTGCAATTAACCCATGTGACTTGCACCTTCCTCCTTGTTATGGGAAGCCTCCAGTTGAGTCTTCGTAATAGATGCCAAGGATCCAAGTTTAGGGCAATCCTGCATAAGATGTGGCCTTGCAAATGAAGAAACTACGAGGAGCAAAATTACCCATCTTTTTATCATCATACTCCTTCCGCCAAGTAGTTGGTTTGTTGCCATCGGGTTTGTAATCAACTTTGGGATTTGGCCTCCAATCCTGCTTACTCCGTTGTTTGTCTTTTCGCACATCACCTCCGTCTTTGCCAAAATTCCCTTTAATTGGTTTGAAAGTCCTTGCTTACGACTCCGTACTCCTTTGGAACTCCATCAAAGATTCGACAACCGCAATTGCCTCATCCACATTTTTGACCCCGCGACGTTGTAATTATTGCTGCACCCATGTTGTACTTCCATCCATGAAATAGAATAGCAGGACATCCTTCGGCATGTTC